CCCTTTTTCTCTCCTCCCCCCCCCCCTCCGGGCCGATGTTGTAATAGCGCCGTTACTCTTCTTTTCTGTAGTATAGAACGCACGAATCCACTGTTTATTTCTTTAGCGTGTGTGTAACTAACAGCATTCCAGAAAAATTCTACACTCCTTGGATGCCCAGTGCGAACGGCAAGGTGATGATGGTCATCCGATCGTTGTCGACTATGGAGTAAGCGTTTGATTACTGTAAGATTTTTTTAGACATGATATGCACGTCATTTGCAGGGTACACTGTTATGGTCGCATCGAACACAGAACCTTATTTTCTCGGGTACTTTCTGGGGTTCACTGATTGTGATCGGCCCGTCGATGCTCATCTGGCATCGTTGCTCACCACGTATCGTGCTTATAACCGCAATGATTTCATACGCAGTGGTGACCTTTGCCACGCCCTTTCTGGCTGTCCATCTTGGTCCTATCGCCGTCTTCACTGCACGAGTCTTCATGGGATTCGGAGAGGTGAATACCTACATACCTAACCTTTACCGGACTTTTATGAATGTTGTCGATGATTATATTTTGTTCTCATTTTTGATTGCTGATGATTATTTTAAACTATGATTTGATTTTTTCATCAGGTAATTAATTAATTATATTTCGGTTCCTATGGGAGGGCGGAAGTGGTGTAGTGGCAAGTGGCGCGCTTACCACGCGAGCGGTCCGGGGATCAAATCCTGGGTCGTGAGTCGCCCGGGCCAACCAAGCCTTCCATCCCTCCGGGGTCGGTTAATTGGTACCAGACTTGTCTGGGAGGATAAAAACACTGACTTGTACATCGGCTGGCCCCCGCAAGTCATTGTATAGGCCACATCGCATTCAAACGCCACTACGAATGTACAAATGGAAGTAGAATGCGTGCCGCATCCCAAAAGGGATTGATCAACGGCAATGCTTTATCCTTTATCCATGGATTCTAACAGCCCTCTCTGAATAGTATCATGAATGTTTGGTAAAGTATCATAGTACTGAGTCCGGATAATTCAAGGGTTTCGTGATACCATCCTTCAACGCACTGATCTCCAACTGGTTCCCAGTTGATGAAAGAAGCACGGTCCTGGCAGTCTACACTACCGGCAATCAATTCGCAGGTACAAATGCCATCAGTCATATATTAGTAAACTGCATTAATAAGTGTTACTTGATCTTCACTCTCAAAAATTCTATGCCTAGGAGCTGTTGGCAATCCAGTAGCAGCTGCATTATGCGCATCGTCGTTTGGTTGGCCAAGTGTCTTCTATACTATCGGTCAGTTGAATTTTATTAAGAATCACCGCGAAAAGACAAAAAGGTCTATTCGTTCCCGAACGGTCGCTATTGTTCATATGATCTTGCCACTTTCCTACAAAAAGTGGTTCACTTACCTTTGGTCTTTTATCACGCAAGGAAACGTTTAAGGTGGAAACCTTATAGGAGTTATTCGATTTATAACGGTACAATTTTAATTTCGGAAATCAAATTACTGTTTTGAACTTCATATTTGTAACCAAGTCTTTCCCAGGCTCTGAGTGATTCAGCTAAAGTCCTCAATTCTTGACAAGGACGATCTTTAGCGGGCGTGACGAGCTTTTTGAAAACGGTCTTTTACATTTATTTTTCCTGAACGGCCCTCTGAATACCAGAAAAGGGGGTCCCTAGTTCGATTCCTCTTGGTGACAAATTTTTGCATTTCGAGTTGACGTTCCAAAATTCGCGCAAAATGGAGTTCTGATTGTTCTGGTTGGTTCTAACTCCATTTTGCGCGAATTTTGGCACGTCAACTCGAAATGCAAAAATTTGTTACCACGAGGAATCGAACTAGGGACCTCCTTTTCTGGTATTCAGAGGGCCGTTCAGGAAAAATTGAACATGGTTCTGTGGTTCCCGCATCTGCCCCTATATCATGCAAAAGACCGTTTTCAAAAAGCTCGTCACGCCCTGAAAGACCTTCCTGGTAAGTTTACTTGGGGAGTTGAAAGCCTTCCCTGGTAAGGGTCTGATAGCGGTTCCTGCTCTACGTTTTCAGTGCTAGCAGAAAACATGAGCAACTGATGCGGTACTGCCCCTTAGTTCCTAGCTGAGCACCTACACAAGAATTTCGGATAGCACTGCAGACACACATCTTATTCAATGGAAGGGCACAGGTAGCATAAAAGGGCAAGTCCCTTCGCAAAACTAGTTTTGTGAATCGAACTCTTTGGTCTTATTTTGCTTTTAATTTCCCATTGCTTTTCTTGAAAACATTCATTACTGAATATGAATAAATGCTCCTACAAGGGAAGGATGGTAGGTCGAAGTGGCCGTTTGAAATGAAATGTATACCTCCTGATGCGTCTCCAGACGCTGATTCCAAATCTGCCTTCCAAATCTGCTAAACGACTCTCCGAACGGAGTTATGAAGCGTAATAGCTCAGTGGTGATGGTCCGGGGTGGCAGGTAAAAGCTCGTAGGATCGGTTCCTTTGCAATTTGTTGCTTTGCTTTTGTCTGCTGGAAAGAAAACTTTTACACGTTACATGTTATTCAATCAATAGTCACCTAAAATTGCCTACCGATGAGTTTGGCAGCGGTTGCTGAAAAGTCTAGCGCTGTTCGCGGTCAACTTTTCAGGTTAAATCAGAATTTCAGATTTTGCTGAAAATTCGTTCTATGGCACCCTGATGAAGAATATCAAATTCGTCTTGCGCGAAAACGTGTGGCACGCGCACTACGGGCGAAGAGAACAGTCATGCGGGAGCAGGGGTTAACTTGTCAGCAACTGCTCGCAGTCTCTTTTGGCAATTTTAGACAAGAATTGAAGAAATAACTACTATAAAAGTTTCTCTAGAAATGTTGCAGACAAAAGCAAAGCAACAAACTTGCAAAGGAACCGATCCTACGAGCTTTTACCTGCCACCCCGGACCATCACCACTGAGCTATTACGCTTCATAACTCCGTTCGGAGAGTCGTTTAGCAGATTTGGAAGGCAGATTTGGAATCAGCGTCTGGAGACGCATCAGGTGGTATACATCTCATTTTAAACGGCCACTTCGACCTACCATCCTTCCCTTGTTAGTTGACCTTGTGCGACGTGACTCAAAATTGTCCTTGCGTCGCATCTGGTGACGCTCCTGCTGCTTTCCTCATGCATATTTAGAGCCACCTTTTATTATGCCAAAACGTAGAACTAGCATTTTGGGCGCTACCTATGTTCATAGAATAGGTAATATATCGTCTCTATAGTGTACCATCCGAAATCGGTCAATGTTAATCATAGCATTTGTAATTACGTATTCGTGTCATTTTTAGTGGAATAATGATTTTTTATGACTTTCACTGTTTGCAGCTACTTTCGGCAGTTGCTGGTGTGTGTTATGGATATTCACTTCGTCGGATTACCCAACGAATTGTAAACGGATGTCACGAAACGAGCACGAGTACCTTGCCAAGAATATCGTACACAGTAATAACAGGAAATCAGTCAGTTGATTTATCGATTCAACTACAGTTACAGCTTTTGCCCTTTATTTTTGCCTTCCCTGAAAGGAACGTTACAATATCAAAACGTTGGTGATCAATCGCAGGTGAAAATCTTTGATCAAGAGTTAGCCAAATGGCTTAGACGCAACCTCAGGATGAAGTGGGTGTGTAGGGCGTTCAATAATGAGGCTGAAGACGGAGAGCGGTCTGAAAAAGAAAACAAAGGAAACCCTCGAGCACGCTCGGATTGAGGCTCCCCTGTCTTTCAGCCAGGCCACCTTGGGATGGACGAAGAGCGCGTTGAAACGAGATTCACTAACGGCTGGCTTCATTTGGTCCAGAGCTTGACGAACCGCAACGCTAGGCCGATGTCACAGTTTGCGAATCCAGCGATTCGCTAGCGAATCGCGGGATACGAGCGTTGCACCAGCGAATCGAACTATGTACCAGCGGATCGAACTATGTACCAGCGACTCGATACAGTTGAAAGTGGCGGTACTTCCTCTCGTTCAGCTCTTTCATGTCCTCGTGAGCCCGAGAAAGTGGCGAGAAACAACGTTCCAAAGGAGTCCCGCCACTTTGAAACAGTGTCGAGTCGCTGGTGCATCGTTCGAACCGCTGATACCTTAGCATCAACCGTTGCCCGCCTGCCTACCGCCGTTGATGGGAGTTTTACTGTAAAATGATCCTGAAATGTCTGTGAACAAGCAGAATCAAAACCTTGTTCACTGCCCTCACCGTCTTCATGAACTCGTCCGCCATCTTTGAATATTAAAATACCTTAGCATCATCAAGACGTAGGTACGCCCATCTTCGTTTAGCCGCACGTCCCCTCAACATAAACCACCTTTCAGCCTCTTCGGAATTTTGAAGTCTGCCCCTCCTTACAACAATCACAATCAAGCAAAAAGCAGAAATACGATCCCATTAAAAAGTCTCAGATACGATCCCATCTAAAAGTCACAAATAAAGCTCCTCGTTAGTAAACAATCAACAAATGTGAAGCCTGGTCGAGCGTATTGCGCATTCTACAATACACTGCGTTTCATAATTATAGGTCCACCCTAAATTTTTGCTACCCCAAAGTTGCTGTGCATTTTTTGGAAATGCTGCTATCACCATTAGATTCCTCATAAAAGGGTCCCGTGAAATGGTTTTGTAACGTAATTTCGGCGGAGAATCCCTTATGGTTTGAGGCACCTTTGAACGACTGAGCGGCTAGAGCTCGCTTTTGTTTCCTTTCACAAAGATTCCATAGGGTATCGTGAAGTTCTTTTGAAGCGAGTTTTACCATTTTTTCGACAAGGATCCCCTCTATCCTTGATTTTTACACACGATAACGCGGCTGTCCATGCCGGTCCTTCCACGCCAGATGGAATTGCAGGAAAAAATGTGGCAGTTATCTGGTGGCCACCATGTTATCTGAATTAGATTCCAATAGAGAATCATTGGGCCTTAATTGTTATAAAGTTCCACAGCAAAGTAAAGCAAAATGGAACAGCCGAAAAGCTGAAAAGGTCGATCATCGGCGCCCAGACGAATTTCGATCCTACTGTAATAGCTAATTTGGCTACCAGCATTTCAAAACGTATTATTGTGTTCCTTATGATTAATTGGAGGGCCATCCCATTATTGAAAATTTGTGACGTGAAACGGTGAAAATACGTTCTAAGGAAGATATTTTAATAATTCTGAATCGAGATTTCTCCAGAAATCGAGTATCAAGGTTTTTCGTTATGGGGAAACTATTGGTAATAGCGGCATTTTCCAAAAATGCACAGCAACTTTGGAATAGCAAAAATTTAGGGTGGACCTATAATTTATGAAACGCAGTGTATAATAACCACTGATTTATACGTAGTATTTTCAGAAATCGACGTCAGTTCCCTATGCTCGAATGTTCACTTCGCCGCCTTTCCTAGCCCAGCTGTTGTGCTTCTATTTTACGAATCTCACTATGACGTTCTTT